TTTGGGAGGCCAAGGTGGGCAGATCACCTGAGGTCAGGAGTTTGACACCAGCCTGACCAACATGGTGAAACCTCATCTCTACCAAAAAATACAAAAAATAGCCAGGCATGGTGGTGCACGCCTGTAATCCCAGCTACTCAAGAGGCTGAGACATGTGAATTGCTTGAACCCAGGAGGTGGCAGTGAGCCAAGATCATACCACTGCACTCCAGCCTGGGTGACAGAGCAAGACTCTATCTCAAAAGAAAAGAAAAAAAGAATTGTCCTTCCATATTACCAGGCAGTACTAGAAAATCATTTTCAAATTTGCTGGGTAGCTGGGCAAAACAGTTGAGGATTACAGTTTTGCTCCAGATAACTTTCAAAGTGGATTACTCACCATGAGAATAGACTAAATTTCACAAGTCACAAAATGGAAGACAATGTTTTTGAAGTCCCGAACATGAGCCTGGTGTGGCTACAGCCTCAAAGCCTTTGGAGTATTTAACAGGGGAAAGGGCTCACAGGTTTTAGACAAGCTTCTTCCCCATGCATTTTTAATGCATGACATTTTAAGCAATGCATTAAAAATAAGAATGGGATTTTTAAAAAAGCTTTTCATTTGCCATTTGCGTTTGGAAGATTGGAGTACTCACATCATTTCAGCCGAATTTCTAAGTATTACACTCTACAGCTAGCAACGTTCCACCCAAGTGATTGGCAAGGCATGATAATGTCCTCAATTTTCACATACAGTATTTGAGCTGTTTGCTTTCTCAGAATACAAAACCCTGAGCTATTTTCTGTAATTATACCAGATGCATTTTAAGAAGCGTTCTTAGTCTTGAAAAAAGGAAAGAAAACAATCCTGCAACTACTGAGGTCTGTTTGGTTTTTCTCCTGAGAACAGAGGAGCCACTGAATGTCACCTTCTTAATGGGCTTACAGTCAGCCCTTCGCTGGGTTAATTTGCTTAGCATATTTTATGTAGCAACCTTAGAATATTGCTCTGCACAGACTGGAGGGCTGGACGTGGCTTGAGATTGTTGAAATCAATTCAATGGCACCCTTCGTTCCAGAAAATCAAACTGCAGATGTTGAGAAAGTGCTCCTGTCTGACTCAAGCTCCATGTGTCCAAGGGCAACTTGTGCTGGTGGAAGGCCAGATCTGCCGTCCCCTCCCTGAGCCCCAGCCACCACCCAAGGCTTCCTCAGCTCCCAGTGCCCCTAATCCTAGAGTCGCACAGGGATCTGCTCTCAGAGCTTGGTCGCTTTAACGCTCTGTTGCCACCTTGAAGTGTTTCGTAATATTTGAATGTGGGGCACACATTTTCATTTTGCACTAAACCCCACAAATTATGTAGCCAGTCCTGCGCCCCACTCCCCATGCCAAAGGCAGAGGAAATGCGAAGTTCTCCCTGCTCCCTGCCCACTTACCCTGCTTAACATTGTGCTTGATTCACTCATTCTCTTTGGCTTTGGTATCTGTAATGGCTCCCAACTGCCCCACGTAGAATCCCACTCCTTTCTCAGCCCAGCACTTGGGGCCTCTTACAGCCTAGCCCAGCCCTGGTTTCCCCTGTCTCCTTAGTTCCGCCCTCTCCTCGCCACCATCTCCTCCATTTCCAGTCTAGTCTTTGTTCCTGCTTCTGGGCCTGGTCTGCAGGTAGGACTCTGGGCACGCCCCTCCCCACCATTTCTGACATTTAACAACAGGTATGCCTCACACATATCATTTCCACCTAGGTAGCTACACTGTGCACTTGGCAGCCCACCACCAACACTCAACTGTACCAGCTCCCGCTCCTTGCACTGACACCTTGGGGGCCTGCCTCCTCCTCTCAGCTGCAAGGCCCTTGTCCTGAGCTTTGAGCGCCCACAGACCAGGCAGAACTGGTCCACCTCAGCTGTAGAAGAACAAACATTTCACCAACAGTGGAGAAGTAAACAGTTATTCCAAACAATGTGGGTTCAAAAAAATCTAGAACAGCCTGATTCATCTGAAGCTAGTTTAGGCAGCTTGGATTATCCAGACAATAGCCTCATTTCTCTTCCTTTCATGCACATGGACATGGCTATGTAACCACCAGAAGGGAAGAACACAGCCTGTGACCTTGGCATCAGCTTGGAGCTCAAACTATGCAGCAGTGCGTCCGACCTTTTCCCACACTCCCTACCTGGTATCTATGAGAGCCTTTAACGTGCCAGCTCCAAAAGAAGACACCTTGACTCTCTACAAAGAAGTTCATGGCCTGAGGTAGAAGGCAAGAGGAGGCCACATGGCTCCTAAAATAGGATGACAGCCATGGCGACTATAGAGTTTCTTGCTGCCAAGGGCAATTCTGACAAATGCACTTATGAAACCTGGCATTTAGACAGGCCAAAGTCCTCCCCCTCGGTAAAAGAGGTTCTCTTTATTCTGTCTTCTTTAATATTTTCTTACTTGCTGAGCAACAGAAGGGAGAATAGAATAGGAAATTGTGGTTACCTGGGAACAGAGACATAGGAGAAGGAGACTGGGTTTTCCCCAGCTCGCCCACCATGGATTTTCCAGACTCCCACCAATGAATAAGAGGCAGAATTCCAGGAAGGACATAAGCTAGGACTGATACAAATATCAAACTCTTTGACTAAAGTTGTCTGCCCTACCTGTTGGTCAGCAGTCCTATGAAAGGGTTGGTGATGAGCTGGACGGTGGCTTTCGAGGCAAACAACAGACCGACTTGCACGTTTTCATTCAGGAGGTCTTTGTCTTCACTGGGACAGTCGGAAGGGACAGCGGATGCGTTGGTCACCATGTGCTGTGTGGTGGTCTGATGAAGCGGCCCTTCCTGCAGGTCTCTGGTAGCGTTCCCAGTGACCATGGTCGAGTTGTCATAATAGGAGAAGATGCTCCGGAAGCTGTCTGAGCTGGAGGCCGTGTGCACTGGCCTGGCCGTCTGGATTTCTGTAGCATTCTTCTCATGCTTAATGCTGTACAGATAACTTGGGATGATGGGGACTGGGGATGAGAGCAGAATGGCAAGGTGGTGATCACACTGAAACCCTCTCCGGGAAAAAAAGTCAGCAAAAAACTACGGTTGCATCGGCCAGGAGCAGCGGCTCACACCTGTAATTCCAGGTCTTTGGGAGGCTGAGGCGGGTGGATCACCTGAGGTCAGGAGATCGAGACCAGCCTGGCCAACATGGAGAACCCCTCTCTCTACTAAAAATACAAAAATTAGCTGGGCATGGTGGCACCCGCCTGTAATCCCAGCTCCTTGGGAGGCTGAGGCAGGAGGATCGCTTGAACCTGGGAGGTGGACGTTGCAGTGAGCCAAGATCGCACCACTGCACTCCAGCCTGGGCGACAGAGTGAGATTCTGTCTCAAACAAACAAACAAAACAACAACAACAACAACAACAACAAAACTATGGTTGTGTCAAATGCCAGAAGAGATCCAGAGAGGTTGCAGGTCTACCCCAAAAACAGGAGCCCTGTGCCAGATGTCTACAATGACACTGCAGCAAGTTCACTTTCCTTAGCTCACTAGAAAGAACCAAGCCCCCAGCGGCCCTGAAGACTGTCTCCTCTCAAAGGCAGCTGCTGTGCTGAACTGACTGCTCCCACAGATTCTGTCGTTTGTGGGTTTCTTCCACATTGTTCCTTCAAGGAATATTTCAGAAAAGCAAAATGTGGTCTGATGTCAACACAGTGCTGACCTGGGGTCAACCGGTGCTTCTAAGAAAGAGAGGCTCAAAAGACTTTCAAATGAATGAATCAAGGAAACAGAAAACTACATTTCATTATGTGTCTTAGAAAAAAATTAACCTGCAGGAAGTAATAACTTGGAAATTCTGCAACAAACCCACTTCATCCTTCCATTGTGTGAGTGGGAATCTGCAATTTTTCCTACAACTTGTAAGATTTAAGAATTCCTAAGACTTTCACAAGGAAAAAGCAAAACTGTGACACAGGCCAGGCTTGGTGGCTCACGCCTGTAATCCCAGCACTTGGGGAGGTCGAGGCGGGTAGATCACCTGAGGTCAGAAGTTCAAGACCAGCCTGGCCAACATGGCAAAACCCTGTCTCTAATAAAAATACAAAAATTAGACAGCTTTGGTGGTGCAGGCCTGTAACCCAGCTACTCCGGACGCTAAGGCAGGAGAATCACTTGAACCCGGGAGGTGGAGGTTGCAGTGAGCCAAGATTGCGCCACTGCCCTCCAGCCTGGGCAACAGAGTGAGGCTCCGTTTCAAAAAACAAACAAAAAACAAAACAAAAAGCAACAACAAAAAAAACACCAATTAAATTGTGAAACATATAATCGAAGCTGTGAGCACATGTGTCCAATGGAGCATTCCAGCCTAAGCAGAACTAATACCCTTGGTACTGAACAGGGATGAGCTCCACGGCTCTGATAACTCCTTGAGATGAAACCTATCAGATGCTCTGAAAACCGCTGTGAGAAAACCTGCAAATGGAGAGAAAGGAAACAGCTCCCACCACTTACAGTCTAAATGAGTCGTGATTTTTTTTCATTCGTTAAAAACTGGGATTTTTTTTTTTTTTAAGGAAATGCATACCAAATCCTTCTCTGTTAATGGGCCTAATTAAGAGATCTGAATTTCAATTACTTAATTTTTCAAAATTCCATTATAGGAAAAAGAATAAAACCAACATTGTTCAAATCGCTCTTGCAATGGTTCCTGAAATATTTCCATCTCAAGTCATTCACTAATACAATATACCTGAATGTCTTTTTTTTTTTTTTGGAGTAAGGGATCGAAACTTGCTCTTTTAGGTACTACACCAAATTATTAACCTGCATTTTCGAGTAGCCCAATAATTATTCTAACACGTAATTTTGAACTTTAGGAATTTCTCTTCTGGAACAGAAATCTTTTTCATCGCAGTGAAAGCAGGCAAGAGGATGCGGGAAATTATCAGGGGGAAACATAAGTTCTGGGTCTTATCGGATGTCACAGTTTTTGACCCGAGCATCAGGAAAGCGAAGCCACCAAAGCGGCTCCGCCTAGCCCGGGCGCGGCAGCCTAGAGGGGATGTCTTTTTTGCAAAGCGAGTTCTCCAACTTTCCCGGGGCTTGGCGGAGCTCCGGGACGGCGCTGGGGTAAGCGGAGTGCCGGGGAAGGGGCGCCGGGACTGGGGTGCCGGGGCAGGGGTGCCCTGTCCGCACGTACCCACGACGGTGAGCAGCATGTTGTCCAGCAGCAGCGCCAGGAACACGATGAACAGGATGAGCTTCCGCGAGCGGCGGCTCTCCTGCAGCCAGCGGACCAGGGCCAGCTCGCTCAGGGCCATGTCTCCGGGGCTCCGCTGCGGGCGCGGCGCGCGGTGAGGACCCAAGGCGGCCGGGGACCCCCATTCTCCCGCCCCCCAGGCCGCGGAAGGGAGAGTCAGGGAGCCGCGCGCACCAGCATCCGGGGACACCCCCGGGCGCCCCAGCCTGGGCTCACCTGCCTCGAGCACGTCCCCACGAGCGCCTGCGCTCCCTGGAAAGAGCGCCCGCGAGCGCCGTCGGAGACCCAATCTGGGGACCCAACCTGAAACCCCCAGGACGCTGCCCGGATCCCCGCCGCCCCCAACTGTGCCACTTCCCAAACTGCACGCTCGGCCCCGTGCACCTTGCGCCCTCCGCCCCGGCTGCCCCGGGGTCCCTGTAGCCCCGCTCGCGTAGCTCTGGGGGCCTCCCTGCCTCCCTGCCTCCCCTGGCCCCGCTCCCCTCCGGCTCCGCGCCCTGCGAGCAGGGAGCCGGGGCCGCGTTACCTCGGGGTCGCCTGCTATGCCTGCCCGAGTCCTCCGCGCCCGCGCCACCGCCCGCAGCGCAGTGGGCTCCGTCAGTCCGGGCGGCTCCGGGTCGCAGTCTCCGCCCCAGCGCCCCTCCGCCGCCGCTCAGTTTACCCCTTCCGACTCTGACGTCACGGCCGGAGGGAGTGGGGGCGGGGGGCTGGGGCGCCCCGGTCTCCGCCCGCCCGCGCCGTCGCTGCGCAGGAGGGGCCGCCGCCTCCCTGTCCCCGCCTCGGCCGCGGCCGCGCCTCTTCTCTAGACCCTGCGCGTGGCCGAGTGCCTTGGGGACCCGGGCCTGGGGAAGCGGTAGGGGCGCAGAGGGAAAGAGGTCAGAGACCCTGGACGAAGGGTGAAGGGCCAGGGACCAAGGCAAGGAGACAAGGCTTTCTTGTGGGTCCAAGTAGTGGCACGAGCTGCTTTGAATAAATCAGGTGGCTCTTTGAGCCTCAGTGTCCCTGAAATGGGCCTTGAGGACGTGAATGATGGCCGTGGGGTAAGATCGCCAGGGGTGACAGGTGCTGGGAGCCAGGGACAGGCTTCTCTTTCCTGAGACAGCCACGCTTTGCACCCACCATTCCCTCCCCTCTCCTTCCTCTGCAGCCCCGATGCGGGGGTGCCACTCAGAGGAGCCTTTGAGTCCTGGGCATCCTCAAGTTGGTGACGGGGGAAAAAGGGGATACCTTTCAGTGTCGCCCTACGGTGGGAGCTGAGGAGGTGAGGGTCCCAGGTCTCAGAAAGTGGGAGCAGTGGGTTTGAGCCTCTGGGGCCACTTGAGCAGGGGACCCTGGAGGCTAGGTGAGTGCCCCTGGCCTCTGAGAAAGGGCTAGGGGGTGGGTTGTGGGTGGGGCAGCAGGCTTAGGCCCTGTGTCCTGTACTCTCGCCCCTCGGTCCTGTGCCTGGGCGTCTGGGTGAGAGGTAGTTCCTAGAGCCAGGGGCCTGTGTGTAGCTGGTGCAGAGCTGTCATCCTCACTGCCAAGGGCTAAGGGCCTGCCTTTGATTTACAGGTCCCTTTTAGAAGCAAAGGAGAAACAAACAGATGCCCTCTGACATCGCTGGAGCTCTGCAGGCCCTCCGAGGGGACCATGGGAGCAGGAGCCGTTTTCTTGGAAAGCCACCTAGAATAAATGTTACCCTGTCACAGTCTCTTAGCAGAAGAGTGGCCTTGTTTTATTAATGTTAGCTTGTTGTCAGCAGGAGGCCACTGAGAACAGCAGTGTGGTGTGTGGCTGTCCCCGCTCTCTCCGCCTCCCTACCCCCTTGCAGAGACCCCCTGTGCTTCCAATTGCTACCCCATGTGTGAGAAGAGATGGTTGAACAGGTAAGTAGGTCAGGAACATGGGTCTCCAGGATGTCGCAGGATGTACGCAACTTAAATATTAAACAGGGAGGACAGAAGGAAAACCACTTAGGAGGAGGAAGCAGATGGCAGAGAGCCATTTAAGATGGCAGGAGGGTATCACTCACGGAGTGCCCCAGAGTGCTTGCTCTGGAATTTCAGAACCTAAGATGCAGACTCTACCCCAGGGACCATGGGGACAGAGAAGCATCATGGTAAAGGGTGCCTACCAACATGCCCAGGTCCCAGTCTGCTACTTCCTTGACTGGTGGCCTTGGGCTGGTTATGTATCCTCTTCGTGGCTTAGTTTCACCATCTCTGGAATGGAGATACTCACCAGACCTACTGCAGCGTGGTTGTGAGAATTCCACGGGAATGCATAGGCAGCTCTTAGCACAGTGCCTGGCACAAAGTGAGAGCTCTGTAAGTGCCGGCCCCTCATTCATGCGGTGAGTATGTGTTGAGTTTTTACTATGTGCCAGGCACTGTGGTTAATGCTGGGGAGACAGTAAAAGTCCAGACAAATCCCTGCTGACATTCTGACCTGATAGCAGCATCATAGCAGTGAACACTGGAAGCCACACCAAACTCCAGCCCAGACAGCTGGATGTAGATGGCTCCAAGGACAATGCCAGCCTGGCATTCCCGCCTCCCGATCACTGCCAACACCCCAGAACAGTATGGCCTATAACAGGGTCTTCAGACTTTTTGTTGAAACCCTCTAAAAAATGTTTAACAATATGTTTGCCTTATACATTTTCAAGTTGGCATCTACAATGAGTTTTTTAATCATATATTTAAATAAGGCATATTGTATTTATTGACCTTTATATATAAAACTATTATATCTCTCTTTTAAATATACCCAAAGGAATTTATTTAAGAACACAAAAGCGCCATGTTATACTTAAAAATATAAACAAGCATCCCTTTAATAGTCAAAATATTTACATTGTGTCCTTTACCCCTTTAAAGTATGTTTCCATTCTGTTTCCAGCATATTTTTATCCTACTGTAATGCTTTTATCGTTTAAATTCTGTATTCATCACATTATCTATTATGTGAACTACGACAAATATGTGACTATGCATTAGCTTTTCAAAATTTTCTACATATGGACATAAATATGGCAACAATAGACACTGGAGACTACTAAAGGGGAGAGGGAGGGAGGGGGAAAAGGTTGAAAAACTAACTCTTGGGTACTATGCTCACTACCAGGGGTACAGGATCGATCATACCCCAAACCTCAGCATCACTCAATACACCCATATTGTTACACATGGTACATGTGTAACAACCCTGCACATGTACCCACTGAATCCCCAAACAAAAGTTGAAACTATAAAAAAAAGTGTAGGCACAGTGACTCATGCCTGTAATCCCAGCATTTTGGGAGGCTGAGGTGGGAGGATCTCTTGAGGCCAGGAGTTCGAGACCAACCTGGGCAAGATAGTGAGACCCTCTACAAAAAAAATTAAGAATTAGTCGAGCGTGGGTACACACCTGTGGTCCCAGTTACTTGGAAGGCTGGGTTGGGAGGACCACTTGAGCCCAGGAAGTCAAGGCTGCAGTAAGCCATGATCACACCACTGCACTCTAGCCTGGGCAACAGAGCAAGACCCTACCTCAAAAATAAATAAATAAATAAATAAATAAATAAATAAATAAATAAATATTTTCTTATGGCCATAAGGCCCTAAAATTCTCTTTAGGATTATCTGATTATACCAATGATTAATGGTATTTAAATGATCAAGACATCATACACAAATATGCATTTTGATAAATAATTATTAAACATAAAAAGGAAAATTGTATTAAAAGTACATTACTTAAGAGACGCATAGGGAGGGGATTTTTGGGGCCTTGATGAAAGAGACACCAAAAGTCTCTGTTTGGTGCCAAGGATGTTTTTGTGCCTCAGGACACTGTATATAGGAAGGGGGTCAGACTCAGGTTAGACAGGAAGGGAGCCTTTCTTTGCCCAGGGGAGGATGAGAGACTGTGGAGAGGGGAGGCCATGCAGGAGCATGTGCATGTCCCCACGCAGGTCCATCTCAGCCAGATGAGCTTTAAAATGGAAGACATGAAAACTGAGGGTCTCAAAAGCTTGGGACATCTTCATATACACTCAGTGTCCTGCCATTCCAGGCTGAAGAGCCTCCACAGCCACTTCTGATACTTCTCAGCCCTTGCCTTCCCCCTCTGGCCACAGTGGTTCCTCTCAGCATTTCTCTGCCACAAGGCCTTTGCACATTTTCCTTCCTCTTCCTCTTCTTTTCTAGTTATTTCCTCTCTCAGTCCCAGCATCGCTTCCTGGAGGAAAGCATGCGGTCCAGCATGAGACAGGCCCCTCCCTTACAAACCCTCATGAAGGTGTTACTTCTTTTTACTTCACTTCCTCCTTTGAGTAACCCTCAAAGAAGCATTTCTTCCTCTAGAGTTACTTCCTCTCTAGAGGGAAGTAACTCTCCCTCCTCTCCCTCCACTCACTTGCACCTTTTTTAGACACTGGAGACTGAGGAGGTACAAAGGTGGTACCAGGATTGACTTTTTCATTACATTTCAATATTTGGGAATGATAATTTCTAAATTCTATTTAGGAAGTAGCCACCTGGGACATAGCAGTTATTTGAAATAGACATTACTGGAGATACACTAACAGGAGTTTAAGCTGTAGACAGCATCCTAGTGGGAGTCCCTTACAAGTTACATGACCTTGGTCATGCTGCTTGACTTTTACACACCTCAGTTTCTTATCTGTCTCTCCAGCAGGTTAACAGTCCCTCCCTCCCAGCTTAGTTATAGAGAGAAAGTGGGATGGGCCTTGCCTAGTACCTGACATCCATTAGGTGTTCTCTGTTACTGGAAAATGGGAAGTGCTGGATACAGGGAAGGTGTAGGTGTTTCCTGGGGGAAAAATCCTCAGGTTCTCCCCCACCAGAGAACTTGGAAACAAGGACAATACCCTCAACTCCTGGGCATTAAGCTGTGACATGCAAATAATGGGTCAGAGCAGAAACGAACAAGGCCATCCCAAGAGACTCAATGGTTCCTAGGCTAGCCCAACCTGGCGTACTATTATCACACCGACAGGGAAGGAAGGGAGAGTAGAGTAGCCAGGCAGGAGCCAGCAAGCTGGCACAGGATTGGAACAGATAGGTCACAGAAGGGGGAGCCCAAATAGCTACCAAGCTCATGAAGAGACACTCACACACTAGTAATCAGAGAAATGCCTATTAAAATGAGGTCGAGACACAGCCCTACACCCGGAGCACTGGCAACAATAGGAAGCTGGGTGAGGCCATTTGTTGGTGAAAATATAGGGAAACAAGGGTACTTTCCTTGGGGTGCATGGGGACTGGTGCAGCCTTTCTGGAGAGCAATCAGGAACTTTTTGGTGGAATTAAGTAAGTGCCCACCCTCTGATCCGGAGTTCTCTCTCTGCCATCTTCTGTTCAAACCAAGAAGCCAGATGTAAAAGCCCCCCAGAGGCTACCCACAGAAGAGCCCCTGCACAAACAGCTGCTCCCAGGAAGAGCCTGGGTAAATGTAGGATACATTGTAGGTTTCAGGGCACACCAGGGAAGTCGCTGAGACAGTTACCACTGCGCTTTGTGGGAAATTCCATCCCATTTGTACATAGCCCCAGGTGTCTCCCATGGCCTGTATCTCAGTCCCCTGAATCTCCAGGGCTAGCAGCTTCAACTGAACTTTCCTAGGAGGGCTCCATCTAGACATGATTTGTTTGCGTCATCTTCAGACTGGATAGAGCAAGTGTCTTTTGGGCAAGACCCTCAAGAGCTCCTTGCCAATCTCCTCCTAGGAGAGCAAAGACAAGGTGCTAGTGGGAGGATTACTACGTGGCTTAAGGGAGGGTCTGGCTGCTCCCCACGCTGTGGCTGGAGAGTAGGAAGTGAGAGGGCCCAGAACAGGGACCTAAAGGTAGGCTGTAGTCTCTCTCTCTCTCTGTCTCTCTGTCTCTCTCTATCCTGTTCGTCTCTGAGAAATCCCTACTCAGAACCTAAGGGGCATGGACAAGGATGGTCATTGCCATGTTGTGTGCAGCAGTGGGGAATTGAGGCAACCTGGGTTTCCCTCACTAGAGAAGATGTAGGTGAAATGTGGAGGACGTGACTGTAGAGTACCATGGAGCCATGGAAGCCGTGCACTGCATTGCACACATCTCCACAGGCAGATTTTAGGAGGCCTTGGGTCTTGGGAGGAGGAGGAGAGTAAGTTCTATAGCATAATTCCAAGTGGGTACATGACAAGCACATGGACACCATTACATTTTTGGAGGCTTCGTTCCCATCCAAGGGTATGAATCAAGCACATTGGAAGTGGATCCCCTTCTCCGGGAGGGGGCTAGGAGTGGGGATCTAGGATGAAGTGGAAATAAGTGAAAAGAAACCAAGAAACGGGCACCACAGTCTGCTCAGAACTGGGCAGAGGATCAACTCACCTCTCTGTACATAAGGTACCCCAGCACTGCCATCCCTGCCAAAAGGATATGTTGGTGATAAAGTGGCTGTCACCACAGACACTTAGAAAAGGCAAACACTTTCAATGTAGCGTTGGCTGCACTGAACACACAGGCCATGCAGGCAGATGCCTCCTGGGGAGCAGGCAGGGTCATGTGCTGTCTCAAGCCAGACTGAAGAGCAGTGATAGCAGATGGAAACCTCCTTCCCCAGAAAACAATGGCAAAACATCGGAAAAGGGCTATGTCTGGCTCAAGGCAAAAGACTCTTGGATGGATTCTTTTTGTTTTGTGGTTTTTTTTTTTTTGCCTTTTCCCTC